GCTCTCCTGTGCCGAGGCCTCGGAAAACCCAGTCGCTGGCCCCACTTCACCTTTTGTGTTATTGTTTTGTGCCCTTGTTTGGCCCAACACTCGTGCGGTTTTCTTGGCGGCAAGGACTCTGATAGTCTAGAACCGTTAAAGAACCCCGAAAAAAACAAAAAACCGAACAACAAAAAAACCAGGGCCACAAAACAACCCCCCCCCCCAAGGCTTCAAGAAATCTGCCCCATGGAATTTTGCAAAGCAGCCATTCCCATCAGATGCCCCAGAGCCTGGAGTTTACAAAAGCAAGCAATCTGATTCCTCACCCACCAGGCAGTTTTGAAGAGCAGTTTACCCCAAAACCATTCACTAGGCCCTTCCTCCTGACTACAAAAACTGATTTTCAGACCCTGCACACTGTGAGTTTTCTTGGATACCCAGTCTCAGGGTTTGGGGGTGCCAATCTCTCAGACCAATAGACCTCCTTTTGGGGGCAAAAAAATCTATTCTTAATGCTCCTACATTGAGGATTCTATTTCTCTTTTCCTTTTCGTTTCTTTTCTCTTTTTTGGTTTTTCGAGACAGTGTTTCTCTGTGACTTTGGAAGCTGTCCTGGAACTCGCTGTTGTAGACCGGGAGGCTGGTCTCAAACTCAAGAGATCGGCCTGCCTCTGCCTCCTGAGTGCTGGGACTAAAGGTAAAGGCGTGTGCCACCAATGCCCGGCGAGGATTCTATTTCTTAAAATCATGAAGGTTAACGTGAATATTGGAGTCAAATGATATCCTTTGTAGCAGCTCACCTCTCAATTCCTTCTGTTTTTCTCAGGAAAGTACAATCCGATATAGAAAAGAAAGGGGGGAGAGCCGAGAGGTGTTGGAAGGCATTTGGGAGAAACCGAACAGTACCTTGTTAAGTAAAGGCTCCCTAGTGGCCCTACAGCAGCATACTCCTTCACAGGGGCATGCCTCCATGCTTAGTTAGTCTTGGTAACACGGCCACTTCCATGATCTGAACATTTTTCACTCAGCTGCAGTGTCTATTATTGCACCGTCCTGGCTCATCCAGTATAAAGCCTTTCTCAACTCCAGTCACTCCCAAATCATCCCATGTTTCCCCACAGTATTTATGACTAATTGATATTTTCTGTCAATTCCTGCCCAACCTCTGTGTAAACCTGAAAGTATCAGAGATTTGTGTACCAATTTTACCCTCCTACCTAGAACCCAGCCTGGCTCATAAAGGTACTCCAGTGTTCTTTGATTGCAGGACTTCATTTGACAAAATGCAACCAAGCATTTCCTATGCCAAGGAAGATGCTTATATCTAAATCTCTCAGCCTTAGCACAACTGTTTGGTTTACATAAAGTTTGGCAACATTGAAGCAACATCCCAGATTATACTTTTATTACATATAACAAGGCCTTGTCTCTTATAAAGGATATTCTTGACACATTCACAAAATGGCCTTCATTGTAATTCTAGACTTACAAACAAGTTTCCAACATATCATTTGATATTTTTTAAATTATACCTAAAGTCATGCCTTAATTTTAGGCAAGTCATTTAGATTTTAAGAAAGGATAGGACAATGTTTGTGGCAGGGTCCTCCAATATAACAAAGTATAGGAAATGTGTAGGCAGGTGATATAGTTTCATTTCTGATATTTCAACTTCTCACATGTAAGTTCCAGAACTAAGAAATCTCTAGATACAGGCAAGCCTAAAGAGAGAACAAGAGTTAACTGCAAACAATTCCATTTTACAAATATTTATGGTTTAAGTCATGCTTGGCTCATTCTAACAGCTGGTAAATTCTGAGGATAGAGAATATCTCTGTTATTTCTTTTATATTTTGGAATAGTCTTTCAACTAGTTTTAAATGAATTAGTTATTCAACTTTTCAGATTACTGCTCTGAAATGGCACCTACAAATGACTGAACATTGGGAATAAATGCAAAAGTTTGGCTGAGCAGTTGGAAGGACCCTAATGAGTCCAGACTGGTTACTCAGTAAATACCTGAGAGTCTAGATCAACTGTTTAAAGTTTTATTACATTTACATGCTTGTTCACACACATACAAGACACACCTTCTCACACACCTACTCTTCACACACACACACACACACACACACACACACACACACACACTCCATAGTGAACATTTGGAGGCCACAGGACAACTTTTAGGAGTCATTTGTCTCATTCCACCATGTAAGTCCCTCTGCTGAACAATCTCACTGGCCCTAGAGCTACCTTTTTTTTGTGACAGTATCATATCTCACTATGTAGCCCTGGCTGACCTGGAACTCGCCTCTGAACCTAAGTGCTGAGATCGAGGGCATGCATTACCATGCCCTGCCCATAGAACTCTGTCTAAAGCACATTATTTTTCCATGCTCCCAGTTTATAAGAGATGTTATCCACAGTCCTGAACAAGGGCTATATGACTGTCTCTGTAAGCACTTACTCCATTCTGGCTTCCAACTGCTGAACTAATCGTTTGTCCATGTGATGGCAGAACAGTGGAAGCAGGTTCCTAGGGAAGGATAGGGGCTCTGCCAGGGATGCTGCAGGCAACTGAGAGATCTCCCAGGCAATCAGAATCACCACGTCTGTCCTGATGGACAGAAAAGATAAACCCAGCCGAGTTCTTATATTGATGCAGGAAACTGATATCCAGGAAAATTCCCTTATTATTTGTCCACCACTGCAGCCACTCATCCCATCCCAGATAGCAATTAAGAGGTAACATCTGGGTGGATCTCTGTGAGTTCGAGGTCAGCCTGGTCTCCAGAGCGAGTGCCAGGACAGGCTCCAAAGCTACACAGAGAAACCCTGTCCCGAAAAACAAACAAACAAACAAACAAAAGAGGTAACATCTGTACATTTGGTACATACCCAATAATGCCTATCCATCCTCCTTCCTATTTGACTTTAATAATTCTAAGGAGTTAATAGCACCACTCCAAGATGAAAAAACAGAATAAGAAATGAAATGTCTCAAAGTTACATTGCAGTAGACAGGTCCATTTGACTCTAAAACATGTCTTCTTTAGTTACTATGACCCTGTCCCCTGTGAGAAACCAACATTCTAGGATACTCTGTTCTGCTTTGTCTTCTTTCTCTGCCCAGCTTCCTCCCTAGTACTTGAACCCTTTCCTCAGGATCACCCTACACACCCAGGGATATTGGAATGTGTTGATAAGGCCTTTATGATCTTACCAAACTGCACAGTCACTGCTGGATCGAAGGGAAGCATCCAGGGACACCAGCTGCTCTCCATGACTCAGCAAGGCATAAAGCAGAGATATCCCAAACTGTGAGTGATAGACAGTTGAAGACAAAATGAGGTCACCTGGGTGTTTTGTGCTTCTCTGGTTTTGCTGGCTTCCTCCTGAAGGACAGGCTTTCGTGTACAGATGGAGACCAATACCACAAGAGCCGTCAGATTTTACAGTTAAATACAGAACTCGGACATTGGTAAAGGAATCATTGCCCTGATTTTTCCACAAGCCTCTGAGAGCTGACTAAATGGAGGAATCAATTAGTAGATGAGGAATGGAGCCTGGACTCTGATGCAGGTAGTCGGTGGGCCACATTCTCACCTAAAGCAGGGTGTACAAGAGAATTCACTAGAGATTGACAGACACTGTCAAGTCTAGGGTGGCATACTTCATGACTTGCTGCTGTGGGTTGCTGGAGGAGTGCTATGCTATGCTATGCTATGCTATGCTATGCTATGGGAAGGGCCTAGTACACACAAGCCCTTGCTTGTATGCTCAGTACGAAGAAACGACTTCTCTCTCCTTTAGAAAGAACTAAAATTATAAACATGTGGGACGCCTCCACATTTTTTATTTTTACTCTAAAGGACACACAAAAAATTTTGAGATTTCTGATGTGGAAACTCACACCACCAGCAGTCACAGGGAGTCCACCACAAAAGATGTGTCATTTCCCCAGGTATAGATCACAGATAGTCTAGGCTAGCCTTGAACTCAGCAGAGAGACAAAGGTAATCTTGAAACCCTGATACCCTTGTTTCTACTTTCCCTTACAGATATGCACCACCACACTCACTTTGTGTGGTGCTAGAGATCAAAGCCAGAACTTCATACAAGCCGCATAAGTGTTCATTAGCCCAGGTCTCCATTACTCCCCTGAATCCAAGTCTGGACCACATGCAGATTCACGGCACCCCACACTACCAAGCAACAGTGCCAGAAAGTATGGAAAGAAAAAGGAGAGAAGGAAAGGAAGGGAACAGAGAGAAGAAATGGGGGGAAAACAGATACCCCACCACCAACACACACAGCTCCTCATTGTATTCCTAAGAGTGGGACCAAGGACCTGGTATTTAATAAGCTATCTCCTGATGATCTTGTGTTCACTGGAAGGTTTTTGTTTGTTTTTGAGACAGAGACAGATTTAGAGTGACCTAACACTTGCTATCAAGCTTAAGCTGATCTTGAACTCATGATCCTTCTGCCTCAGCCTCTTGAGTACTAGGAGTACACCATGTCCCATTCTCACTAGACACTGAGAAGGGCTACTGAGGATAAGATTTGTGTAGAGGTGAGACTGTTCTCTTGATTATTTCTTTCTAGTAGCACCATTTAGAAGTCATCTATGGGAGACCTGTCATGGTGTCACATGCCAACATAATTTATGAGTTCAAGGTTATCCTTGGTTACATGGAGAGTTCTAGACCAGCCTAAGCTATATAAAACCCTGTCTCAAAAAACATCAAAACAAACAGTCTGTGGAAAGAAAAGTGTCCCAGATCTATTACCTGATTCTGAAGAACCACAGAGACTGGCCGCTCTGAGGAGCCAGGTGGTAGCAACATTAGACCTCGGAGTCCATGGAGGAGTTGATGGAAGGTCAAATGACTGATATATTTTCCCAGAGGTTTGAACAGTATGTGTAGAGCCTGCAAGAAAATCAGGAAGTGTCCCTCCCAACTCTACTATAGCTTCATCTCCTCATACTTTGCCTCCAGTTCCTTCCCTGGCTGACCACCTCAGACGACCTTCCTGCTCAGGTTCCGTGCCAGGCTGAACACTGCTCACACCTCTCTATTCCGGTAGAGTACTAGAATACTGAATTATTTTACAGTGGCTTTCTATAGGAAATAGATAAGGGTCCTCTGATGAGGGGTGAGTCTCATCTCCTCTCAAACTCATAGTGCACTCAGACCTGTGCAGCCATTCATCTGTTTTCCCTTGCTCATCATGCCTGAAGATGATCTGCTGTTGCTATGGCTGTTTGTTCTGTAATTACCTTCTTTATTTGATGCACTACTCTACATCTTGCTGGCACCTCTAGGGAGGGAGGGTGCGGGGAGGGGAAGACCTCAAACCCATTGAGACCACCCTCTTTGCTACTCATTGCCACAGCACCTGGTCAGACATGTCCCTCAGGATCAGGAGGGGCAGATGGTAGATGATACACAGGAGGAGGCTAACAGCTTGATCATGGGGCAGGAAGGGGAGCAGCCGAGCCACCAAAATTTTCCCTTTCCTCACAGACAGCACCTGCAGAAGGTTGTCTGTCTCCCTGCAGGGAAGAGAGGAGAGTGTTTTGAGAGTTGTGCCAGGAAAGAAGACTTTGTGCCAAGAGCAAGTCCCCACCACTTCAGATCCTCCTCCTCTGAGGCTAAGCTGGGACTCTCTCATACTCACTCCAGGTTGTTTTGCTCCTGGGTCTTTAAGGCCTGAAAGAGCTTCTCAACCTGGTTGCTCTGTTCCCCCGAGTGGTAGAGTTGTGGAAACTCAACATTCTGGCCCTCCTCTATCTTTAGTAACTGAAGGAACATCTGGGAATTTGACAGTTGGGAGGGGAAGAGGTTAATTGAGCAACATCCCATCCTTAAGATTTTTAGCTAAGAGCATCTCCCAGTGAGCTTATCTCACCTTCTCAATCAGGGATAATACTCGGAGCCTCTGACTGCTTGCAGCTCCTGTATCCTAGGCACAAAGAGTCCCTGGCCATCAGCCACACCACCAATGCAGCTGGAAAAGGCTAGACACAAAGTCTGATCACATTGCTTCCTCACCTTTATGTCACAACGTAATAAGAGTTTTTAAACCCAAAATATGAATGTGTTCTAGACAACAGGGGGCAGAAAAAATTCTAGGATAATCCCACACTCCTACCTGCTCTTGAGTTCCATGAGATACAGCATCAATAGCTCGGCGAGGGCTAAAACATGTTGATACAGCTACCTGGCCCAGGGAACCCTCAATTCGTACCACTGCATAAAGAGAGCCAGGAGGAGCATGCTTCTCTATAGGAAGCTATACCACTCACCTAGGTATCCAGACCAAGGCAGCAGTCTGGCCATACCTGACTCATAAACTTCTGCCTTCTGGATGTAAGGTGTGACCAGCTTGAGAGACTTAGTCCTGTTCCTCTGTCCAAGCAGCTCTCTGTCTGCCTGTCTCTTCTCTAGCTTCTGATAGTACTCCTGAGGATCCGGGGAGCAGGCAAAGTGTGTGGGCATTTACAAGGCACTCCGAAGGCTCAAGAAAGTGCACAGAAGTGGACATGCCCATATTTCAAGGGTAGATATAAAGGAACCTCTCAAAAGGATGGAAACAAACCTTGGGTATTTAGAAAACAGTAAATAACCCCATTTGACCAAAGTGTAGGAGACTTTAGAAAGACGGATTCTGCTTTGGAGTGACTGTGCCAGTACCTATCAGATGTGGCCTCTAGGACTTGAAGAGAGGGTCAAGAAGGCCCAGGAGTCCTAACTCATCTGGTCAAGGTCAAAAGCTGGGACTAGGGGCCCAGAGCTTACCTGGTAGTAATAGTCATCCAGGCGGGGGTTCTCACTTTGCAGCTGAACCATCTGCACTTTTATCACCCAGTCCTTCTCCTTTCGGGTCATGAGGTTAGCATAGGTGTCTGGCTTCAGAGACCAAGGCTTCCGGGCTAGGAGACTTCAAGCCAGCAGAAACATCCCTTTAGGCATGCCCTGCCATAGTGACTTCCCAAGAAGTAAACAGGCTGTGGGGTGTTCTTGGAAGGACTAGAAAAGGTGCAGTGTTGGGCAACAGTGATGGAGTACCATTATGCAGTGGGGGAAGATAGGTAGTCACAAGGAAATACCCAGTATACATAGAGACTGCTTCCCCTCAGCCCTGCTTCTCATGGAGGCTTTACCTCACTGTTTGCCTCTGCTGCTGCAGTAGGATCCGCTGGTGCTGAGGGTGGAGCTGGGTCAGATGCCTGGGAAGGCTTAAAAGGAAATCAGCTGAGTGGGAAACTTCTCTACGCACCAACCCTTCCAGATAAGGGTTACTTAGACCAGGTAAGCATCAGTGAACGTCTAAGGCAGCCCTGGGGGTCTACATACCTCCCCCAAACCAAAAAGCAGAAAACATCACAATCCTCATTTCCCGATCCCAAGATATGTCTTCAGTGACTGTCAGCAGACAATCTAGGCATAGCAGGCAACCTTTGGGCATGGATGTTAGTTCTGAGCCCCAGCCTCAGTTCTGCCAGGGTAGCGGACCTTGCCTCAGTAATTTCCTCAGGGCTCTGTTTCCTCAGCTGGGGAGCGGGGGGGGGGGGGGGGGGGGCAGATTGGACAGAGTTCCTGAATTTTCTTAGTGAACTCTCAGTGTTTTTCTGTGGCAAGTGATAAAAGGTGACAGAGGTGGTCCTTGGCCACCATGTCTTGTGACCTATAGGAGGAACTCAGCTTGTTCTCTTAATGCAATCACTGATACCTGAGTTTAGGGAGCCTCGGGGTCAGTGGGTTATAGAACAGAAGAGGATCTGGTGTAGGCTGTCGAGGTCCAAAGTGGCAGGCTGGAGAGCTGGCTCTTGGGAACACAGGCTGAAAAGGAATTGGCTAGAGATAGTCCAGGGCACAAGGGGGACACACCACTGAGAGAGGAGAGAATGTGCCCTTGCTCAGGTAATTTCCCTTTGGGTTCCTCACTTGCCTTTTCCCCTTAGTAATTTCACCCAATATTTTGCTTTGTTGGGGAATCCTCAAGGTAGCTGTGGAGACTGTGTTCCTGGCCTTTGACAGCTTGCCACCTCCTAAGAGGTGCCTTTCCAGTCCCCGAGGATGGGTGGGGAGGATGTGCTTTTGAACACACCCATGCTTTTGTGTTCTGTCTTCAGCTACCGAGGGCAGACTCCTCTGTCTCTTTTCTGCCTCACTGAAGCCCTCGGCAGAGCTCAGTTACCTTATAGCTCTCCCTACAGGATTTCCTAGTTGTCAGTTCTCACATTATTATGTAGCTCATGGATGGCAGATGTCTTTCCTGTCCCTATGCTCAGCACTCAATCATCTGCTGAGATATTTTATAATGTTGGAGCAGGATTCTATAGTTTGCCCCATTTAGTGTGAGTGGCAGTTGTTCCTGTAGCATTTAAGTCCACTCTGAACCACTTGCCATTTACCAAGCTCTTCAACATGATGTGGCTGTCCACACCGTACCAGTGCCTCATTCTGGGCACTTCATCTCTAGGGTCAGGAGAAGGGTAGATTGAACATAATGGAAGCAAGACACTCAGCACTTCGAGGAATGGAATGCTCTGTATCACTCAGTCACCTCCTCACAGGATGGAGACTAGAGTAGACTCACCGGCTACAGAAAATGAAAGGAAGTTTGTGACATCCCCGGAGCACTAGGGGCCTTAGCTCCAGGGGAACCATGCAGACCTCTCTGGAACAGAAAGGAAGAAAGGCCAGATTCAAATGGACCCACACACTGTCTTCTCCTTTTTTTTTTTTTTTTTTTTTTTTTTTTTTTTTTTTTTTTCGAGACAGGGTTTCTCTGTGTAGCTTTGGAGCCTATCCTGTAACTTTCTCTGTAGACCAGGCTGGTCTCAAACTCACAGAGATCCGCCTGCCTCTGCCTCCCGAGTGCTGGGACTAAAGGCCTGTCTTTTGCTTTTGTTTCCAGAGAAACAAGCCTCGGGCAACAAAGCCAATTATTTCAACAGCCAGGACGTTAACAGCTGGACCTTCCCCTTTACCCTCAAGGCCAATGGGCCAGGATCCTTCTTCCTCTGAAGATGACTAAAACTTTAGGAGTAGATTGCAGGAGGGCTGAGTCACCTAACTTATACTGGAAGTCCTTGTCTTTATCCATTGGTCATGTGAATTTAAGGCATCAAATACTAGGAATGGCCCACCGAGACACAAGGGCTAAAACAAAAGTGATTCACCAATAGTAGGGTTACTATCTATGGGAGACACAGGACTGTGCTGGGATTTTGTGTCCACACATATGTGCAGGTACATGAATGTGCATGCTGTGTGTGTGTGGAGGTTAAAGGACAACTTCAGATGTTAGTCTACAGGGGTCTACAAGGGTCCTGAAACAAGACCTCTCACTGGCCTGGAATTTTGCCACAAAGGCAAGAGAACTGGCCCTAAGTTTCTAAGGTCCCTCTGGTCTCCGCCTCCCATCTCACAGTGGCTAGGAGTACAGACACACACTGCTGTATACAGGGTTTTACATGTGTTCTGAAGATCTGAACTCAGGGCTCACATTTGTAAGGCAAGGACTTTACCAACTGAGTTGCCCCCTGGGCTCCAGCCTTGTGGATTTTTGTTGTTTGTTTGGCTTTAGGGTGTGTGTGTGTGTGTGTGTGTGTGTGTGTGTGTGTGTGTGTGTGTGTGTGTGTGTGGTCTTTCTGTGACTCTCTATGTAATCCGGACTGGGGCCAAGTTATGATGCTTCTGTTTGTACCTCAGGAGTCTTCGTGCTAGGATTGCAGGTGTGCACCACTACACCTAGCTTAGGACGTGATTTAAGGCAAAAGACAGCTGCAGAAACTTAAATGGGAGATGGGGGAAAGAGGGAAGGAAAAAGCCTCAATTCAGCATCATACCTGAAATAAACAATATTAATTCAAAATAGGTCTTAGCAAAGAAGTAGAGGCGACAAGAAGAGTGTTGAGTGACAGTCTGAACACTGAAGTTCAGGACTGTTCTCTCTATCTCTACCTGACGTGGTACTTGGGTATTTTGGATGGCACTCAGTATGGCTGGATCCCCAAGATCATTCCCTTCCTCCTCCACATCTGGGACCGGATCTGAACACACATCTTCCTCCTCGTTCTCCTTTTCTTCCACATCCTCCAGGTGGAAGGCAGATACTGAGCCTTCTTTGGGAGCCAAGGGACCAGAGAACTTGCTTGGCCTCTGGTGAAAGTGCAGGCCTGTGGAAGAAGATGGAGACACTGGTGTGAGGACTCTGATCTTAAACACAAGCTTCGGTCAGAAGCCATCTCTAGACAATTTTAAACATCACCTCTGTGCTGTTTTAGTCCCCCTGTCCCCAGGACATTCCCAAGTGAACCCCCATTAACACAAATAACACTTGGCAGACACCAAACCCCTTCACTGTCCACCTATCTCTTCAATGCTCTGAATGGATACCACAGGCTTTTCTCCACCCGCCCTTCCTAATCTAACAAGCCCTTCTGTTGCCTCTTGAAACGAGCTAGTCTCAGCTGTCCCAACTCAGTGAGCCTTAATCCTATACGCTCCATACTTCACACTGCATGTCTGCTGAACAGTCATACAGCGCTGTCAGAACATTGCTGATAGTTTTTCCACAGCGGCAAGTAAAACAAAAGCCCAGAAAAATCTATCTCAGTAGCTAGCCACGGAAGAGCTTTCAATCACTGTTACTGAGCCTGGTTTCTTAGCTATGCTGGTGTGTACCTCTTGCCTGTGTACCTCTGGACTTTTTATGTAGACATTCAGCCCACTTGGTAAAACCTTCAAGGCATTTCATCTTGGCAGCTTGGTAGCCTTCCTTGCTGGTTGTGTGCCCCACTGATAGAGAAGCCTCTGGAAGGGAAACCTAGGACAAAGAAGAGACCCAGAGACATTCTCTTCCTCGATAAGGATGGGGTGGTCACTAAAACATCCATGGTCTCTTTTCAGCACAGTGGGCAGAGGATTATTGACCCAAGGCCTCAAGGAGCAAGAGTCTGAGCTCTCAGATGAGCATAACTCTCCACCCTCCCACCTTACCAGCTCAGCTCCAAGGAGGGACAGAAGTTAGGGAGCTGGCTAAGCATTGGAAGAATACAACCGACCACTTTCTGCGCACAGTGACTCCTGCTGCCAACACCCACCACCTGACTGCTGCTGAACTTCCCACGTAGGTTAGCCATGGCAGCCTGGGCCAGTGCCTGCTTGCTTCTCCTAGCTTTTGAAGGCTCAGCTGTGCCTCCTGCTCACCTGTTAAAGGGCCAGCATGCCTCGCTGCTGAGGTGGTGTAGAAGTATGAAACTCTAATAAAGAAAATTCTTAGTCAGGTGTGGTAGCATAGGCCAGTGATCCTAGCACTTGAGAGATGGAGACAGGAGGGTCAGGAGTTCAAGGGTAGTTTCAGTTACTTAGGAAACTTGAGGCCAGCCTGGACTTCACAAGACTGACTCAAACAACAACAAAATAGAAACAAACAAAAAAGAAAATTGTTATCTGACTATAGTGGCCCACACCTGTAATCTTAGCACTTGGGAGGCTTGGGTTAAAGGCCAACCTGGGATACGTAGTGAATTCCAAGTTGGTTTGTTCACCAGAATTTGGCCTTGTCTCAAAAGATAAAAAAGAAAAGAAAAGAAAAGAAAAACAAACAAAATCCCTCTTGATTGGGGAAGAGAAATAAATTGGACATTTAATTGTGTAAGTCTGTGAGTCAGTTCATTGGGCTGACATTTTGGAGGCAAATGCTTAAAAAGGTCCTTTAAGGAAAATTTAGGAGTTTTGTAAGAACTTTGCTTCCAACCGGGGGGTGGTGGTGCACACCTTTAGTCCCAGCACTCGGGAAGCAGAGGCAGGCGGATCTCTGTGAGTTCAAGGCCACCTGGTCTACAGAGTGAGTTCCAGGACAGCCTCTAAAGAGCCACAGAGAAACCCTGTCTTGAAAAACCAAAATAAATAAATAAATAAATAAATAAATAAATAAATAAGAACTTTGCTTCCATTGGATGCCTAAGTTTTACTCCAGCCTAGTTAGAGAAGAAAGTTCTGATGCATCCCGAGGAGGTTGCCTCTGGGAAGGGCATTCAAGCTTTCCCCAAGCCCACCTGAGGGTGCTTGAGCCTCACTGGGTTACATCAAGCAGTTTACTCGCCCAGCTGCCAATGATGCATGGCACAAGACAACACAAACTTGCGTCTGCTCGGCTACTTTAACAGAAAGAGCTGGGACGGTAGGTACATAGGTATATATTTTACAGCTGGTAACATACAATTTGTTTAACTTTATTCTATGTGCATTGGTATAAAGGTGTTAGATCCCCTAGAACTGGAGTTACAGACAGTTATAAGCTGCCATGTGGGTGCTGGGAATTGAACCCGGATCCTCTAGAAGAACACTTCAGTGCTCTTAACTACTGTGCCATCCCTCCAGCCCCCATACAATTATATTTTTATATTATTTGTTATTATGTGTGTGTGGTCTAGACCAGTGCTTTATACATGCTAGCCAAGTGCTCTACTACCTGAGCTACATGCCCAGCACTTGGGAGGCCAAGGCAGGAAGATTGTCTCCAGTTTGAAGCAAGCTGAGGCTTTTTAGTGGGTCCAGTGAGACCGTATCTCAAAGCAAAGAAATGGAGGACGAGCAGGGCAGGAGGAGGAGGAGGAGAAACAAACTGTGCCAAAAGACTATGAAGGGACCACAACCTGACACAGAGATTTCTTTTTTCCTTCAAGGATGCCTAACACTTGTCCATCTAAAAAATGGACCAGTGCAGTGACTGATCTATCCCTATAGGTAAGCATTATTTTTAAATGACACAGGTAGTGACCTGTGTTTTGCCTTGCCTTTGCCTCAACCTCCTTAAATACTCACATCATACATGATGGCATGAAATTCCTATTGCAGTTACTCCTGGATAATTCGTGGTCTTTGGAGAATCTGCTATTGAGGTTGCAACTGCCTCCCTCACACCACCACCGTGTGGCCTACTCCAGCCATGCCTCCCTCCGTGTGGTCCCCTAGGACGTTTCTAAGAATGTAATGATGATACCTCAGCATGAATCTTAAAAGAAAAAAAAAACATAGATTTCATCTTAAAAAGTGAAACCACACTGAAGATATTAATGCCAAAGTAAATTCCAGAAAAAGCAAAGATTTTTAGTAAATAAAACCCCAAACATACTAAAAAATGAGAGGCTGGAAATATGCTCATCAAGTAAAGGTGCTTGCTGCCAAGCCTAATGACCTGAGTTCCATCCCCAGGGCCCCACTCGGTAAAAACTGACTCCTGCAAGTTTTCCCTGATTTCTTCACACACATACCAGGGCGTGTGTGCATGCATTTCCCCTAAATAAATGTTTAAACATTCTATCTAAAAATCCACAAGAAGCTGGAGGTGTAGCTCAGTTGTAAGGGCACTTGCCTAGAATGCACATGGCCTGGGTTATAAAAATCTCAAATCCAGCCCTGTGTTGGTGGTGCGAGCCTTTACTACCAGCACTCGGGAGGCAGAGACAGGTGGATCTCTGTGAGTTCGAGGCCAGCCTGGTCTACAGAGCGAGTGCCAGGATAGGCTCCAGAGCTACACAGAGAAACCCTGTCTCGAAAAACCAAAAACCAAACCAAAACAAAACAAAAAATCTCAAATCCAGGCATAATGGTACACACCTATAACCCCAGCACTTGGAAGGAAGAGGCAAGAGGTTTGAGAATTCAAGGTCTTATGACATAGAGAGCTGAAGACCAGCTTGGGCTACATAAGACAAGAGTCTCAAAAACAAAAACAAAAAAAACAACCCAAAAAACAAAAACAAAAACCAACCAACAAGCCCCTCCCCCAAATTAAAATTAAAATTAAAATTAAAAGATGTTATTGTTTGCATAACCTGTATGCTTCAGGTTACATTATGAGAAAAGTGAATATATAAATAAGAAAAGTTGATACTTTGCCTTTCAAACCTGTATTCAACACCCAGTCAAGTAATTCACCAATGATTTACAGTTCAACATATTAAAAATTTCTTTGTGTGTGTGTGTGTGTGTGTGTGTGTGTGTGTGTGTGAGCACATGTGTTCAGATGTATGTGCTCTTGGGAGGCCAAAGGATGAAGTTGGGTGTCTTCTTCTGTTACTTTCTGTCTTAGTTTTTGAGACGAGGTCTTTCACTGAGCCTGGGGCTAGCCATTTCTGCGAGGCTGGCTGGCCACTGAGCTCTTGTGACCTTCCTATAACACCGGGGTTATAGGCACATGCAACCACAGCCAAATTTTATTTAGATCTGAACTCAGGTGCTCCTGCTTTCCCCACACAATGCTCTTACCCATTTAGCAGTTTCTTCAGCCACCACACTTTCTATTACCAACATTTAACTGCTACATTTGCAAAAGCCCTGGGCCAGTGAATCTTTTGACAAGGTCTTGCTATGTAATCAACTTTGACCTGTAATTCCCCATGTATTCCAGGCTGGCCTTAAACTCAGGATCCTTAGGCCCCAGCCTTCCAAATACTTGAATGATAGGTGTATACCACAACCTTGGCTTAGAGGTTGGGCTTTCTGCAGACACATGATAGGAATCTAGAAACCCATCTTGCTCTACCTACAACTTGGTAATTAATCTCCAGTAGGGCTGTGGAGGATCTGGCTGGTGGGAGTAACCGTCCTAGAGCAGGCACAGGTGTCAACGCTAGTCACAGGAGAAGGCTGGTTCTCATGGCCCATCCTGCCAGGTGATCTCAAGCTAGAAGAGATGGATTTGCCCAAGCTGACAGCGAACTCTCAGTCCACAGTGGCTACTGTACTCAGATCTAAAACCATCAAGCATAATTCCCTCCTCAGACTCTGTGCCTTAAAACCTCCTCCAAGTGTTTAGTTCTAGAGAAAAACTGAATGGTTAAAGTAACCCATTTTGCTAATCGTTTTAATACTAAGGATCAAACCCAGGGCCTGTGCATGTCAGGCAAGTATTCTACCACTGAACTACACCCCAGCTTCACCTCCACGACCTTTTCTTTTTAGTGCATGTACAGGTTGCAGGGGGAGGGTGGGTGCACACCTATGTATGCAAGTGTAGAGGGCAGCTGTTCACGTCAGGTGTCTTCCTCTATTGTTCTACACCCTATTCTTGCTGACAGTCTCTCATAGAACCTGCAGCTCTGTATTTGGCTAGCCTGCCTAGACAGCAGGCATCCTGGCTATGACTCGTATATGTTTATAACCCTCCCAGCCCAGGGGGGTTATAGACTTTCACTGCAGTGCCCAGCATTTATGTAGGTGCTGGGATCTGAACTCAGATCCTCAAACTTTAGCGGCAAGCACTTTACCAACTGAGTCTCTCCCCAGCTCCCACCCCACTTATAGCTATTTCTAACAACTAAATTCTATCAGAATACTAGACAGAACTCACGATACCTGTTACTCGGAAGTCAAGGAGCAAAGACAGGAGTTGAGTCTTTAAGTTGCACTTTGCAGAGTCAGCAGTTTGAGAAGGCAGCAGATTAACATCCTAAAAGCTGCTGAGTGGTTTGAATGAGATAGTCTCCCTAAGTCTTGGGCATTTGAATATTTGGTATCTGGTTGGTGGCTGTTTGGGAGGACTAGGAGGTGTGGCCTTGCTAGAGGGAGTATTTAGAGACAGGAAGTCTTTGTGGTAGACAGTGTTTCTCAACCCATAGGCTGAAACCCATTTGGAGGCAGATAGGGGTTGCCTAAGAGGTATTTACATTATGATCCATAACAGTAGCAAAATTAGAGTTATGAAGTAGCAATGAAAATAATTTTATGGTTGGGAGTAATCACAGCTTG